AATCCCTACCAAACACACACTGAATGCTTGCCTTAACTTTTTGAGTTGCTCTAAAATGACATTAGTTTTTCTAAAATAAACAAACTGAATTTTACAGCATCACTGTTTTCACAAATGAACCCAACTTCAATCTAACAATAGCTGCTAACAAGATCACAGACACAACTAGCACATGAATCAACCATCAAAAACCTTCATTTCCTCCAAGAAAGCCTCCAAAATCACCACCACAGGCCACAGCACCCTGATATCCAAATCAAGACCTCACAATATCTGAAGTCATGCTTAGATTTCAACCAGTCACCACTCTCAGTCAACTAGAAAAGATTCATAAGATTAGCTGAAAAAAAACTTATGCATTCAAATATACTTTGTTTCATTGACACTCCCATTTATAAAGCTAATAGGTACACAGAGGAATAAGAATATTTTGGAATCGTGATCAGTGAAACTAGTAAGTTAGGTTGAAATTTTAGGAATGATGGTCAATTAGAAGTGGTAGGTGCACATGCATCTTTGCTCCTCTCTTGAGACTCCTTTTCAGGAGATTCAACTGATTTGATGTTTCATTTTTTCTGAAGCAGTAAACAAACTTAGACCCCCATAAGCATTTTTTTGTAATATGAGTTGGCCCAAAAGATACTAAAGGGTAGCTTATTGATCACGAAGCATGCTTTCTTGGCATGGCATATTCGAGCTTTGAAAACAGTAACGAAATAATGCACTAACTGTGAAAGTACCTTTATCAGTATCGATATTGCAATTGTACCAAAATTATGCACTTTAAACTATAAAACAGGTGCATTAACCGACATTTAAATCTATATTCTAAATCTACAGACACGATACCGTTCATTCTCCAAAAGCAAATAATCAAAACCCAGCAAGGTCATCTGGATGACCAAAAAATAATTATATAACGAAATTCCAAAAACCTGATTTCCACTGTAACCATTGCTCTATTGTGATATTTATTAGTTATTTACAACTGAATACACACATGAATTTAAAAAATGTAATTCGCTTCAAAATAATGACTGGTACAAAAAAGAGAACTTTTACCTGTAAGACTCCATAGACAACGAGGGTGGACATGATGCCGGTCACCGCAAAAATCACTTTGAACAGCTTGTTCTCTTTCCATTGCTTCAGCAGCTCCGCCCGTGACTCCGCCATATAACATCCACCTCCGCCTCCTCCACCACCCCTCTTCACCACATCATCCACCCATAAAAAAAATCTTTATAATTAATATAAATTCACCAAAATCAAGAATCCAAACACACACATACATAAAATCTCCAAGAATCGGAACAGAATGTGGGAAATACCCGTAGTACGTAGTCGAATTATGAAATCAATTCAGCGACAGAGAAAATTTGATCTGATATAATCGGCCTGAGTTTCGCGGGCGGGTTTTTGTCTAGATTTATACAACGTTGTTAATAGTGCGATGAAGCCACGTCACACGGACTGGGACCCACTGGTCAACGAACATTTATTTTGCTTGATTTACCTGAAATTTTACGTTAATAGGGCGCGTTACACAACAGGAGCCGACGTTAACCGCTGGATATAGATAAGGTCAAAACGTTCGCTTTCAATAAGGAATGTCAGCTCATGTGCAAATCTAAATGAAGACATTTTTTTAATTACAAAGTGGTCTTTAGTAATTTATTATTAAATGACTGGTTAAATTTATTTTTATTTTAACGTGGATTTTCTTTTTATTTGCTTACGGGATAATTTTTTTTCAGAAAAATAACAAAAATACAACGAAAATTTTATGGAAGGTTAAGAGCCTCTCATTGAAAAAGACTTTTTACAATCATGTAGAATTTCCAAACCTCTTAAATATATTACCACGTAGGCTGGTACAGTAGAATTTCTCGTTACAATCCTTATAGAATCACTCACCCAATTATAGAGTATCATCTAGATAGGTGTTTTAGCACGAGGAATGTTAGATGATTTTTGATAGACTGGTTCGATTTTGATAAGATTTGAATTGAAAGGAGTATCGAAATTCTACTAAAGAAGGGAAAAATAAAGTTAAAATCATGTTCACTGAATCATCCATTGTTGCAAACTTGCGAACTAAACACGCGCATCGTTCCTAACTGCTGATCTTCCAAAAACTTGTGATGACTGATTCTGCTACTATATTCAACTGCCATTTTCTGCATCAATTCGAAGAGAAGCATGTTCTAATATTTGAGCCCTTAGAACTTGGTAGTTTTCTGATCTTTCTCGAAGGAAATCTTCGCGATGTAGAGTTCCTAGCAATGAGTAAATCGACACTGAACATTCATGCTGCATCGTGGGATTATAAATGTATGATCTACAAAGTGGACAGCTTGAATGTGTTTGAAACCAAGTATCAATGCAAGAAACATGGAATACATGAGAGCAATTTGGTAAATGCTTCACCCATTGGCCTTCTTCAAATTCACCCAAACAAACAGCACAATCAGTATTGCTTGGACTAGATTCTTCATCCTTATTTTTCTCAAACTGAGTTATGGGAATTGAGTGCATAATATAGGACTGGAGTCCCCGGCTCTCGTACTGCAGGGAAGGAGAAACTTCAGGAATCTCGTCTAGGCGTTGTCTTTGGACTGAAGTTCCCAACAGATTTATTGCAGGAAACGACGTGCATTGTCTTTGTAGAATCCTAGAATAACTGAATAAAAGGAAAATGATACAAATCACAGCAACCAAACCCGTAACCCATGGATTCCAGTCAGAAGGTTGTGGAGAAGGTGTTGGAGATTGGAACATTATAAAAACAAGTCTGTTTTCTGAAATTTAAGAATGTATCAATCAAAAAAACCTTGTTTTTCTCGAGAGATCCAGCTTTGTTATAATTCTGAAGAAGTTTACAATGATGAAATGAAACGGCTAACATCTATTACAAGTGATTATTACTAAGAAAAGCCAAAAGAATTTGTCCTAATCTATATTAACTATTTAATTTATACGTACAAAGGAGATAACAAGAAAGATGTGGAATATACGAAAGAGTCGGGAGCTTGAGTTTTTTTAACTGAAGTTTTGATCGTATGAACCCCTTTGTCTTGACATGTGACAGCAAACTAGCCTCCTTTAGTAAATATAAGATGTTTTATGGGTCGATAGTTATAATAAAATGGGTTTTTTACAGAAAGAATTGGATTTGATAAAATCAAGAATCTAAGTCACTCAAAATCATTATCAAAATAAGACCCAGACTCGTGCATATAAAGATGGGAAGGATGATCTCTTTCGAATTTTCAGTAAAAATTGCGTCTCTTGGCTAAAGGAATACAGCTATTAACATCTGTCGTAGTAGACATCATTATACCATTGTGTAAACTAGATTCCCGAGGTACATTTCCGAAAATTAACGTAGGTAGAATTTGTGAAGATTCACAAGACATCTGGGCACAAGGCTGTGAATCCAGTGATCTAGAAACCAGTTGTCCCAAATTTGATGCTGGTTCCTGAGCAAACATCTCATGATCATAGCCTTTTATAGGAGATGGAGGAATATGAAAAGGCTGAACCCGGGGAGGATTCTGCCACCTAGGTAGCGGCCCAGCCACCAGAAGCGTCTGCAGAAGCGGCCTGGCTTCAACAACAGCCTGCAGGAATTTTCCAGTCTGAGGCAGAACTCTTCCCGTGACAAGGTTGTCTATAATCAAAGAGGCATGATCGATATTTGGGATTCCAGTAGGGACCTGATTGGTTGAAATCATGATGCTGTTTGAGAGTTCGGGAGATGATACTGCATCAAAAAGAGAATCAACTAGAGACGAAAGACTATTGGATTCAGTTATGCAAGAATTTGTTTTCCGGGGTTTTACAAGAGGATTATTGACATGAAACTGTGGAAGAATGTTCAAGCTTTCGGTTGATGAAGTTAACATAGACTTTTTGAGTAGTGTCTGAAGTTGGTTTCGAGCTTCATCTCTTTCTTGAATGGTAATGTTTAGGAGTTGGATCAATTGTTTTACGCGTTCCTTGTTCTTCCTCGTTTTCTCGTTAGCTTCTACTTTCGATTTCTCAAGTTCAAGAATCGCGTACATAAGCTTCTGATTCAATTCATCAATGTTCTGTCAAGAAAAAAAAATAAAGAACAGAAAATCCTGTGAAAAAACGAAAACAACAAGAATTTGTACATGATTATAGGCATCATACCAGAATCAAGCAGTAAGATTGTAATGTAAAATCAGATCAAATACTTTTTTCCAAGAGCTAATGGAGTTCAATTATTTCATGAAGGACTTAATCAAAGTTATAATTGGATACCTAGCCTAAAAAAATGCAGAATCATGTGTGCGGATAATTTCTTTAAATCATTGATGTTTATTACAACAGAGAATTGCAACTCAACAAGTTCAGACTGTAACATGTTTGCTCTAGGAAAAACAATTTTACTACTCTACTGAAAAAAGGGAAGAACTTGAAAATATGTTACTGAAGTAACACTTGGGATATGTTTGGTTTGCTGAAAGGGAGATGACTGACTATGACCACGGGGCACGTGCACACACAAAATCCAGTAATGTACCAGCATACGGCTGGACAGGATAAGGGACATACATTTTACACAACTCTCTTCCTAGATCATGCTGACTGTTGCGTACCAAATGTGTTATCAAAGCCTAACTAAACAGTGTTAACAGCCTTTAGTTTTCCATCCAAACACACTGACGAGGAATGCACTGCGCAGAGAGATAGATTTCATTATACTATGATAAAGAAAAAGCACCCTTTTGCTTCCAAAGACAGCATTAAAAGATATGCAAATTGCAGGATCATAGAGATGGATCAGCATGACTGGTATTCATCAGATCAAATTTAGACACATCATATGCTGTTAAAACTCACTTAGCTTCCATTAAACACATCATCCCATAAACAAAAATATGAGCCACCTAATCATCAATTACCTACCTCTTGATAATTCCATAAAGATACCATTTCTTCCATCTCTCTTCAACAACGGTGAAGAAAAAATAATCTTGGGGGAAAAGTGGAGCTGAACCTATATATCACTCCCTTCTGCTTATTCTTATGAAAAAAATTCCTTTCCATTCCTTGAGGAACCCTGTCTTTTATTACTGTAAATAAAT